TGAAGCCACTGCTACTCTTGAAGAGTTTGTGGAGTTTGTTTCACATGAAAAGGATGCTACTAAAGTAGCATGCATCATGATGGCCACCATGACTCCTGAACTTCAAAAATCCTATGAAGATTTCTACCCCTATGAGATGCACCTGGATCTGATGGAAAGGTACCATCAGAGCGCGCGTCAGGAGAGGTATGAAATCATCTCCTCCATGATAACCGCAAGGATGAAGGATGGTGAACCCATCACCGGTCACTTGCAGAAGATGCAAAGGTTCGTTGACTGGTTATTGAAGCTTAATGTGGACTTTCTTGAAGAAATGGCAATTGATATCATTCTCCATTCCTTACCTCCAAGTTATGATCAGTTTCGTATGACTTATCATATGAACAAGGAGGAAGTCACACTGAGTAAACTTCAAGGACTTTTAAGGACAGCTGAAAATGGCCTTAAGAGTAAAGCGGTTGTTACTTCTACTTCTACTCCTTCAGCAACCCCTATTCTTGCGATTGGGCAGGGAAAGGGTAAAAAGAGGAAAACCCCTTCGAAGGGTCCCAAGGGTAAGCCCCTTGATGGTTCCTCTTCTAGTGGGGCAAAGAAAGGTCCCATTATGTGACAGTCGTCAAAATTCGAGTCGGTTTTAGATTTGACTAAACTTAGTTGCACATATAGGCACTACACATACTAGACTTAGTAACTAGAAGCTAAGTTATAACCTACTAGAAACTTGGAAACAATTAGAATCAATGGATAGTGTGCATAGATTTCACATTGATATGTGAATTCTATAACTACTTAACTGTAGAGACTATCCATATTCGGGTCATTCTTTGACTCGAACACCATTTCATGAATCATATTCACACATCATGCACTTGACCTAGAAGTAGAAATTAGGTCAAAGTCTCATAGAAACGTAAGTCAAAGTTGAAGAGTAGGACTAGTATACTTGATTCCTCAATTTCGTTTGAATCTCGGAATCACTACATAGAATGCCAATAAACCGCTAAAAATAAATTACAAACAATATTTCTAATTTGAATAAGAGTTATGAAACTCTAAAATAGTTTGAAGTCTCAAAATTCAAGTAATTTTGATATCCAAAGATTTACAAACTCTCAAAAACCCTAAATGCCCTAAAAACTCACATTTATAAACTTTGACCTTAAAAATTCTATAACAATAATCATGAACCTTATAATATGATCTTATAACAATTAAAATTATGAAAATGCATTCAAGGAAAATGAAATTTAACTCATTAACATTTACCCTTAATTTATAAACCAAAAATCAAGAGTTTTATGCATAAAAACTAGGTTAAGGTGCACATTTTATAAAAAGTTGGATATTTTTATAAAAGATTTGAATTTTTATAAAAGAAACAAGAGAGAGGGAGCCTCTCCCCTAAAATCGGATCCCTCTCTCCCCATATCTCTCTCTCACACTCTCATTCTCCAACACACACATCTCTTTTCTTTCTCTCTCTAGAAAACTCTCTCTACCTTCTCTCTACTTTTTCTCTCCAAACACCACTCCATTCTCTCTTCCTCCCTCTAAAGAACCAAGAAATATTCCAGAAAACAAACCCAAGAACACTCGTCAAACTCGAAATCTTCATCATCTTGTGGTATTCTTGAAGGTAAAATCGATTTCTACTTCACTTTTCCTTCAAGTTTTGCTCTTTTCTTACACGTTCTCCTTCTTCATCTTCTTCAAACTTGTTTTCTTTTTGTTAAAATGGGTTTTAGAACATGATGGATGTGTTTTAACACCATGCATGTATGATAAACAAGGTTGCATGTTCATGATCTTAGTGCAAAAATCGATTTTAAGGATTAAAACATCAAACTCAAGTTAAGAGTTTTTGAGAAACAAAATTTTCTTCAAAAATGCATGTATACATTTTGATAAGTTTTAATCTTTTGATCTCTGGAAACATGACCAAAATATGAGGTTATCATGATATATTTAAAATACTTCAAAAGGTTTACTCAAGGAAATGATGAAAACCCACTTTTCTAACCAATCATCATGCATGCAATCTGCCAGATTTCTTTACCTGACTTTAATTCGTGATTCTTTTTCTGAAATATAATATTTTGAGTTAGCTTTCAAACCCATCTGACCTCACTGAAAAATTCCAAAATTTCGATTTTTACCAATTTTTACAAAACTGTTGCTCAAACAGCACTTTCCTTATGAACATTTGTTTTGTGTTGCATGTTCAAAGGACTTATTCATCACTAAAAATCATTCAAAAATTATTTTGAACTCTTAATATCATGTATTAATAGGTAAAAAAAGATCTTGATTCAAAAGTCTTTGTAACATGTTGCAAAAATTGTCAAAGTAACATCACTAATCTTTACATAAATCACAAGAACCAAGTTTTCTCTATAATTTATTGAGCCTTTAGGCATGGTGTTCAACATCAAAAATAAGAACACAAATTGTCATTGTTATCAAATTGTATGAAGATGCATTCTGGAAATTTTCAACTCAATATATATTTTCTTTATTTTTATATGAAAATAATAAGAAAATAAAGTGTTAAATCATATAAAATACTTAAGCTAGTAAATAAATTATGGAAAAATTCTTGGATGATCCTTTAAGTTAATAAACATCTCCCATTAAGTTTCATCCATTTTTGTTACTGTTTAATATGGTTTTGAATTTTCTTTTTGATTAGCTCTAATAAATCATAAAACCACATTAGGGAATATAAAAATGGTATCTAATAATTTTTGCAGCTTATACTCTCTGTGGAACACTTAGAAAATTATTTTCAGAATTTTTCATAGTGTATTCCTATTTTTCTCCGATTTTTGTATTTATAATGGACTAAAAAAGGAAAAATAGTTTTACTCATCCAAACATTATGAAAATTTACCAGAACACCTTTTAGTACATTAGGATGCTACATAAAAATTTGATGATTTTTCTCTTCTGTATACTATTTTTCTTCTATTTTCCCAAGATTAAATACACTTAAACCCAATTTTTATTAGAATACATACACAAAAAAATCATAAAATTGGGATAAACAGTTTAGAAATTCATTTTTATATTTTTCCTAGCTTAATAATGACTAATAACAGCGTTACAAAAATTTTGGACAATTTTGGAAACTATTTTCTATTTATTTCAATTTTTATTAGAATAAATGCTCAAAAATCATAAAATTGGGTTAAACTGTCTGGAAATCTATTTTTATATTTTTCCCAGGTTAAGTACATGTAATGACATTACTATAAAAAGTTTGGGGCATTTTCTTAACCAATTTCTATTTTTCATGAATTTTTATATATTTAGAGAATTAAATATATGAAAAATGGTTATGCATATCCATAATCCATGAAAATTTATCTAGAAGTCTTTTAACATATTTAGAACCAAAATCTGAAGTTTGGTAATTTTTATTAATTGTTTAGTATTTTTCATGATTTTATGGTTATTCAAGAAACTAAAATGGTGAAAAATAGTTAGACAAATCAAAAATTCAAGAAAAATTTATCTTGAGGTCTTTGACTTCAATTAAAACTGAAATGCAAAGTTTGGGAACTTTTAGAACTAAATTGATTTAGTTTTGAATATTTAATCATTGGAACACTTCTAAAATGTTAAATATTAACATTTCAATAATGGAAATTTTCCACTTAAATTGTTATATAACAATTGATTCTTTGAAACTTAATTTCCACAGAAAAATGTTTGTAACTTATCAATATTAAATTTTGACACATTATTAGCATAATTCTATTGTAGTAGTAAGTATACTAGTGTTAGATTTCGATTAGAGACTCACTAGCGAATACCATTATTGTAGGAATCGGTAGTGGTACACGTGGAACGTAGTTCAAGGCACCATTTGCATCATCTAAATATATTGTGAGTATTCACGCACTCCCCTATTTTCAGTTTTTATGTTTTGGGGTGGAAAAGCATGTCCCGAAGAACTATTATTTGAATGTTGTATGTAAATTGATTTGTATCAAACATGATTGCTATTTTATTGCTATATCTCTCTATGTATGTCTATGCAACACGGAACATGAGAACTTATCGTATTAAGGCCCTTCCCTTATCTCTAACCATTAACTCTTTGAGCCAATGGTCATTATGGATAGCGCTATTAGGAATTGACAACTCCTCACTCGCCCTATTGCTGGAGTGCATGATACCATATTCATCTATGGAACGATAAGCATAGATCTTGATAGGGCTTCAGTCATAGGTTTGGTTGAGACTCATTGTTTGCTCATACACATACAAACTCGTTTCTCGTTATAGCAATAAACTTGTTATTAATTATAGCAATAAACTTGTTATTTATTATAGCAATAAACTCGTTTATCAGTTATAGCAATCGACTTTGTTTCTCATTATAGCAATGAACTTTGTTTCTCATTACAACAACGAACTTTTATTACTAAAAACTTATATACATGTTTTAGCAACGAAATTGATTGCTCATTATAGCAATGAAACTTGTTTACTCATTTTTAGCAACGAACTTTATTTCCATGAGGATATGAACGTTGCATCTCATTTGGGCAACGTAACTTTATTTCTCACGATGGCAACAAACTTTGTTTATACAAACTTATTTACTCATTTTTGCAATATATTTTTATTTATGGAAAACTCTATCAAAACTTTGATTTTGATTCATGAAACTTATATTATTTTTAATCTGTGAGTACTCACCAACTATTTTTATAGTTGACGCTCGTTTTACATGCTTTTTCAGGAATCATCGAGTAAGTGGCACTTAGGGACACTTCACTTTTAGGAGCATTCACATGTGTTGTATTTCAATTTACATTGTAATTTCTTTTAAAAGTTGTTCAAACCCATTGTAAAATTGTAATGATTTTTAATACTATGGTTGGTGTAGTCTTTTAACTTTTGCTATGAAACCCTTTATACTGCCACGCCTCGTGTTTCCTCTTTAGCGGGGTGTGATACATTACTCCTTCCTCAAACCCAAAGGAAGCACAATGCTTCTATTGTCAAGAAAAGGGGCATTGGAAGCGAAGCTGCCCCAAATACTTGCAAGATGTGAAGGATGGGAAAGTTAAACCCACCCATGCAAGTATTTATACAATATTGTCTAATAATTCATCTAATGCTAATTCTTGGGTGCTTGATACAGGTTGTGGTATTCGCATTTGTACTGATTTGCAGGGCCTAAGAAGAAGTGAGCAAGTGGAGCACGAGAAGATAAACTTAGTCATGGGCAACAGGAAAGCATCACCTGTCACCAAGATAGGAGTTTATTCTTTATTGCTTAATAATGGGTTAATGTTAGATTTGAATAAATGTTGTTACTCGCCTGAAATGGCGAGAAATATTATTTCCTTTCATGGCTTGTACAAACAAGGGTTTACATTTTTATTTGATAATAATAATGGTGCTATTAATGTTTATTACAATGATGTATTTTACTTTAAAGCATTACCTTGTGATGGTGTATATGAAGTTGTGAATGTTGTAGACAATCTAGGGAATAATGTGTTGTATATTGATTCTTCAAATAGCTTGGATAAAGCATCCTTGTGGCATTGTCGTCTTGGACATGTTAACAAGAAGCGCATAGGCCAACTTCAAAAGGCTGGAGTCTTGGAATCGTTTGACCTAAAGTCAGATGATAGTTGCGAGTCTTGTTTACTTGGAAAAATGACAAAATCACCCTTCACAGGTACATGTGATAGGGGTGAAGGCTTGTTGGACTTGGTACACACAGATGTGTGTGGGCCCTTCAGAGTTGCTACAAGGAAAGCTAATCGCTATTATGTGACTTTTACTGATGATTACAGTAGATATGGATATATTTACTTAATCAAGCATAAGTCAGAAACCTTTGAAAAGTTCAAAGAGTTTAAGCAGGAAGTTGAGAATCAATTGGGCAGGAACATCAAGATGCTCCGATCCGATCGGGGAGGAAAGTATCTTAGCATTGAGTTCCTTGACTATCTTAAGGAATGTGGGATTGTCTCACAATTGACACCTCCCAGGACACCACAGTTGAATGGTGTGGCTGAGAGGCGCAATCGAACCTTGTTGGATATGGTTCGTTCCATGATGAGTCGAGCTTCGTTACCAATCTCTTTCTGGGGGTATGCTTTAGAGACTGCCGCCCATATCCTTAATCTAGTCCATACTAAAAAGGTTGCCAAAACACCTCACGAGATGTGGACTGGGAAAGTACCCAATTTGGACCACATCAAGATTTGGGGTTGTGAAGCTTTCGTGAGGCGTGAGACTCATGATAAGCTTGAACCTCGAAGTGAGAGGTGTATTTTCATCGGCTACCCACAGAGATCCTTTGGTTACCTCTTCTACAGACCCAATGATAATGTGGTCTTTGTAGCAAGAAGAGGAGTCTTTTGTGAGAGAGAATTTATAAGCCAAGGGGACAGTGGGAGGCAAATTGACCTTGAAGAGCTTCAAGAGTCAAGCGGTGAAGGAACCTCAAATACTATCGACCAACCTGAGGAGGAAACTCCTGTTGAGCCGATAGATGAGTCTGTACCTCCAAGACGTTCCACTAGGGTGAGGAACACACCTGATTTTTATTATGGTTATCACATCACCACTGAAGGTGATACATTTATTAGTGATAGTACACTAATAGATTTGAATGAACCTAATAATTACAGGGAAGCCATGGCAGGCCCTGAGTCTGCTAAATGGAAGGAGGCTATGGACAGCGAGATTCAGTCCATGTATGACAATCAAGTGTGGAACTTGGTTGACAATGTACCAGGTCGTAAGACAGTTGGGTACAAATGGATCTTCAAGAAGAAGATCGACATGGATGGGAAAGTACACACTTATAAAGCACGACTGGTTGCGAAGGGCTTTACTCAAACTCCGGGAGTTGACTATGATGAGACCTTCTCACCAGTAGCTAAGATTAAGTCTATTAGAGTGTTGTTAGCCATAGCTGCATTTCATGATTATGAAATATGGCAAATGGATGTCAAAACCGCTTTCCTTAATGGGAAGTTGGCTGAGGATGTTTACATGGCTCAGCCAGAGGGTTTTGTCGATCCAAAATACCCTAATAGAGTGTGTAAGCTTGAGAAATCCATTTATGGATTGAAACAAGCGTCTCGCAGATGGAATCTTTGCTTTGATGAGAAGGTCAGAGAGTTTGGCTTCTCTAGGAGTGAGGATGAGTCATGTGTGTATGTTAGGGCCAGTGGGAGTATAGTCAGCTTTTTGGTGTTGTATGTGGATGACATACTTCTCATAGGAAATGACATCCCAACTTTGCAAGAGGTTAAGTCTTGGCTTGGGAAGTGTTTCGCTATGAAGGACCTTGGGGAAGCTGCCTATATCCTAGGGATAAGGATATTTAAGAGACAGGAGTAAGAGACTAATTGGACTTAGTCAGAATACTTATGTGGGTAAGGTACTGAAGAGGTTCAGTATGCAAGATTCCAAGAAAGGAGAATTACCAATCCAGAGTAATGCCAAGCTGAGTAAGACTCAGAGTCCGAGTACAGAGGCTGAGATAGCTGAAATGAGTCATATACCATATGCTTCCGCTGTGGGCTCGATCATGTATGCTATGACTTGTACTCACCCTGATGTGGCCTTTGCTTTGAGCATGGTCAGTAGATATCAAGGGAACCCTGGCAAGGCACACTGGACAGTGGTAAAGAACATTCTCAAGTATCTGCGGAGGACTAAGGACTGGGTCCTTACCCTCGGGGGCAGTGATGACTTGAGAGTGGAAGGATATAGTGATGCTAGCTTTCAGACTGATAGGGATAATTACCGCTCTCAGTCAGGTTGGGTCTTTATCCTAAATGGAGGGGCAATTACTTGGAAAAGTTCCAAGCAGGAGACAGTAGCTAATTCAACTTGTGAATCAGAGTACATAGCAGCAAGCGAGGCAGCAAAAGAGGCGATATGGCTAAAGAACTTCATCGGAGACCTTGGAGTTGTACCAGCTATAAAGGAGCCAATGGAAATTTTCTGTGACAGCGAAAGTGCGGTTGCTTTGGCTAAAGAACCAAGAGATCACGAGAGATCTAGGCACATTGACAGAAAATACCATTTCATCAGACATAGAATAGAAGAAGGACTCCTCGTGGCAAAGAGGGTATCATCAGATGAGAACCCGGCAGATCCCCTCACGAAGGGACTGAGCAGGGTTAAGCATTTACAGCATGCGAGGCGCATTGGGCTGAAGGATGATATTAGTTTCAATAGTTGCTACACATTCATGAGTGCTCATAAGTTCTGGGTATTGGATTCAACCCACGCTCACTTGCATCACTTCATGGAATTTATCTCGAGTGATCGTGAGACGGTAATATCATATAAATCTTCAAACCTAGAGATATGAGTTGTTGACTATGAGTTGGTTATTCATTGATTGTACGAAAACGCATTGGTTACTCGATGTTATAAAACGTGCCTTTGTAAATAATTCAACAAGTAGTTAGTACAAGCATATCAGTCGAAGTTTATATGTTCCTTCTAGAAATAGAAGCGATATCTGGGGGCCCCTCGATGATTTGGTTTTGACTTATGTACCGGGCCCGGTCAGAACCTAATTGATGTGTTCAATTTAGTTCTATGTCGAAACAAATCAGAGATCGAGAAACAAATGCTGGACAATAAGTAAGACCATGTTCCATGTGTTTGTCCGGCTGATATCATGAGAACAGAGGATTATATGATCACTTATCTTAAATGGCGTATCATCATCATCTCAATTCTGAGAGACTTTGAAAGAGCTACGATTGCTAGTCGGATTTTGAAGTCATATTTGCAAATATAGTTATTAGACTTATCCAAGTGGGAGACTATTGGATATAGTGTCTAAGTCCATAACTTTATTTGGTATGTACTTGACCCGACCCGGCATGGTCCATTTGAGTTGCATGGCATGGCAATACTTGGATAGACTAAATGAGAGAAAGGACACTTGTATATTATAAGTTCTAATATATTAATAATAGTATTATTTAATTAGTGTTGATCAAATATTAATCTAGTATTAATTTGGTGATCAAAGTGATACTAATTAAATACAAAGGGTTGATTATGACAATCATCAATTCTTTTATGGTGGATTAATGATCCATGGTTTATGGGTTTGGTTGTAACCATATGGAGCTCCATGGATAGTCCATGGGAGTTACAAACCCATGGGTCATGAGAAATCAAGAGTCATGACAATTAAGAGTATTCATGTGAAAACCCTAACTGTGACTACACTATAAAAGGAACCCTTTGGCTAGTAAAATCGGCACCTAGGGTTTCTAGAGAGGGCATAACCGATTTTCAAGTGTAAGAAGCATTCTCTCAAGTTATTCCAAGTTTTGTGGTGTTGTGTGAAGCATTTGAGGCACAACATTTGGGGTGCTAGGCTCACAAAGTCTTGAAGGAATCCAAGCAACAACAAGGTATGTATTTCTACTAGTTTTATGTTTTATGAAATCCCCATGCCATGCTAGTTAGGAAATAACCTTGAAAAAGAAATTTGCATGTATATAGAGAAAACATAGATTCAAGGCTATTAGGGTTGCATGTACACTTAGGAAGTGTTAGAATGCTCAAAACCCATCAGCTTCTTCTTTGGAGATTTCGAAGATTTTGACTCAGTTTCAATCTTCTTCGTCTTCTTGGATTTCGTATCATCTCTATCCAGGAGTATGCCAGTTTCGATTGAAAAATCAATAGTCTTCAAATATGCCACCAATACAGAGTTCGAAGGATCAACTCTTTTAAGCATAACATCTGGAATACGAGCAACTGATGGAAAAGCTTCAGCATTATCTGTGACATCCTTCGGATAGTGGTATGATTGAAAAACTGCTTTGTCTTCATCATTAGGTACCAAAATCCCTTCCTTATTGTAAAAGTATTGCAAGATCAAACTCCAGTATCTTGCACACGAAATACCATGAATAGCATTCGTGTGTTCTATACCTTTTTGAAATTCCTTCCACAACTGTGTAGAATAATCTACTTGAAGATCATAATAAATGCCAACAACCATGGCATAAAACCTTCATTCTTCCTTTATCAAGACCAGCAGATCTCCCAGTCAAACATCGTAGAAAAATACCAAATAAGAAATTCCATAGGCATGGAAGACCAGACTTCTTAAAATCACTAATCTTGGACAATGGTGGCTGATATCCCATTTCATTAAACATGTGAACGATTTGTGGAAAAGTAAATGAAACATATGGAGGCGAATTCGGAATATCAAGAATTTGGCAGAAGAGTTTCTTGGATAGCCTGACCTTTTTGTCGTTCACCAGATGAAAAGTAATCGTATCAGATGCTTTGTTGTAAGTCGCAGTTGATCCTGCTTGAGAAAGCCAGGACAATGGAACAGAGAAAGAATTGAACATCGCCTTAGCCAAAACCGAGTTCTTCAAAGCAACTATTAGCATCTTCAATTCTTCCGGGTACTGAGAAACTTCACCCTCCAAGTAGTAGTTTGTTGCTTGAATCTTCATTATTGGTAAGGAAGAGGCATCTTCAGTGGTATGAGAATCAACATGAGCAGAAGTCGCCATTGTTAGGGTTTGAAGATGATGATGAACAGAGAATTTAGGAAATTTGCTTTTTGATCGCGTAAACTGACAATGAACCCTTGAATTCCCTTTTATATGTAACCCTTAAATTTGAATTTGAAGCGGGATATGTATTTAATGATATCCGACGTGGCACCTTGAAAATCGGACCATTACTGCGTAAAAGTAGCCATGCGTCAAAAAGTAGCTGTCACATCGCCTTGAAAAACGGACAGAATACCATACGTCATTTATAAACAGTCTGTCTTGTAATCCCCAAGAAAATTGTAACCGTCAGAACCCTTCGAATGGAAGCAAGGCTCTTTCACTTTTGGGATGAAAAGCGAAGTCATACGCCAGAAGTTCGAAATCATCATCCTGAGTTGGTATTACTCATAACCTCAAGGATTTCGTGAGTGCAGTGTTCCAAAGAATATAGACGAGAAACAAAGATAAGAAAAATATGGGATATTGTGATGTCAAACCATTGACACAAAAGCAGATGAAATCCCGGGCAAAGATTACTTCATTAATCATTAAGAGAAATGATCAATAGCTTGTGTGGGTTCCCGTGAATTACAATCGAATACTTGTTGATAAGTATCGAAGGGCTTCTTTTATAATGCTTCGTGGATAGTTCAAAAATTTCGTTACATGTCATCCTAAACATAAGGTGAGAAATTGTAACAGAAATTACTTGTTTGACCAGTGTAGTCAGTGACAAGTTGATTTAGATAAATTTTGAAATGACAAGGACATTCGAATGAAACTTACACGGAAATCATATTCAAGAAAAAAATTTGTGTGCTGGATCTTGTTAGGTAACAAACATCGTGGATTTCGAATGTTTGATCAAGACCACTCATTCGAAATGAATATGATTTGGAGTTTCGAATTTTGGTACAGAAACAAAAGTTTCGTGAAAATCTGGAACTTAGTTCCCCGTCAATTCCTTAAAAAAGGTAATGAAAATTGGGTTTCACTTTCATCACGGTCTCATGATGTCAGATCATAAAACAGCGTTTTGATATATCTAAGTCTCGATGGGTTTGATCAGAGACCTCTCGGACATATGTCTTCGTGTGTGATCGTGTAAGAACTTTATGGATGAAAAAGATTAATGTAAGACACGAAAAGTACCTCTGTTATATTTGGACCAAACAGTAAACTCTTAACTCATTTTGAGAAGAGTAAGGTAACTCAGAGACTAATGTGAATATAAGACTGATTGGGAAGAAATCTTCGTATGAATAATTTCATTAAGGCTTTCGTACACACACATTGAGTCATGGAGGCTTTGGTCAACATACAACAGCATGCTTCTAGGGACAACCTAACTAGTTCGAATGATGACAAATTTATCGATTCATACGAAAAATGTACCTGACCCTAGTGCTGCAAGCATAATCCCCATTTGAATCGTCATGATAATCTGCAACAAAATACTAAAAAGAAATAAGAATCAAAATATTTTTGTTGTTTTGATTTTTCGAAAATAAAGACAGAACAAACGAAAATCTTTTTGAATTTTTAATTTTCGAAAATTAAATGACAACAAACGAAAATCTTTTTGGATTTTTGAATTTTCGAAAATTAAATGATAAAACAAACGAAAATATTTTTGGATTTTTGAATTTTCGAAAATTAAATGACAAAACAAACGAAAATCTTTTTGGATTTTTGAATTTTCGAAAATTAAATAACAAAACAAACGAAAATATTTTTGGATTTTTGAATTTTCGAAAATTAAATAGTACTTGATGCAAATATGCAAAATTTTATCATCCCCTTATAAGTAACAAATGTACGAATTCGAAGGGGTCGAAGCGTTGACTATGAACAGTAACATCTGAATCAACCCTTAAAATAAGTAACAAATGTGCGAATTCGAAGGGGTCGAAGCGTTGACTATGAACAGTAACATCTGAATGCTGAATGACTTTGCCTTGTCTTTTATTCAGCGCCTCTGATTCATTCCTTATCATGCATCATTCTTCTTTTTCGCATGGAACAGAATTTCCATCGATCATTCCAAGTCCCTCTATAATTCTCACAAAGGATTTTTCATCTAAAGGTTTCGTGAAAATATCAGCTAACTGATCAGTTGTTTTCACGAAATGTACTTCAATATTCCCATCCTCCACGTGATCTTTGATAAAATGATAACGAATGGTTGGGTCAAAAAATATGGTTTATACTTTGCTTTTCTAAGCATTTATTGTTTTTATTATTTGGGCCAAAAATAGTATAGGATTAATTGTAGCTTGGACCGAGCATTGGATTATTTGTATTTTGGGCTTGGCCTTAGGTCCATATATATATATCTTATATATATATATATATCTATTAATATATATATAATATATATATATATATATAGGGTGAGGAGTGCATGTGAAGGATAAACACATAGAATAGATGAGCTTAAGTGTGTGTATTCTAAGGTGTTCTAGAGAGAGAGAAAATAGAGTGTGTGTTAGTGTGTGTGAATCTTGTATTCGGATCTTCATTCATATCAATACATACAAGATTCCATCTTCTTCTTCTCCTTCTCTTCTATTTGATCTGGCATCATCCGTTTGATTGGGATTCCGCACCATCAAACGGATCTGATTGATACACAAGCAGATTAGGGACTTACAAGTGGTATCAGAGCTTGGATTGTATCACTCATCTTTGTCAGATCTGGAGCCGATTTGATCTTATTTTGGAAAGATTCTTGCGTTTTTGGATAGATCTCTGAAAATTAGGGGGGGGTGTTGTCTTCGCGTTTTTGATAAAACGAGTTTTTGATCGAGTTTTGGAGCAAAAA